CTTGACTCCCTGTTACCCAGTATGGGATCACTGGTTTGTTATCTTCTTTTTTAGAGGCTGGCTGGAACAGGCATTGAGCCCTTGACTCTGGTGTCACTGAGCTCCCTGCCAGCCCTGCTCTGCTGTCTCTTACCGTTCACCTGTGTGTCTTTTTGCTGTCCTCTAAAGTTTCCTTGTGCTCCCTTTACTGTCTGTTTCCTCCCCTTGCTTTGCTGGGACCTCTCCTCACATGTTCCGGGCTTTTCTCAGAAATATGTGGCAGGATTTGGCTGTTTAGGTTTTAGAGTGAGGTATTCGGGAGCTGAGTGGAAGCCCTTGGGAGACCTGCGGACTGACGAGCTCCATGTGCTGGCCAGCTGGGTGTTTTCACTGTGGACCCCTCCCCAAATCAGTTTCTCTAGGTCTTTATCTTACTCTTCATTCTGAAGCAGGGCAAGTGAGGGGGTTTGAGGCTCACCATTCAGAAAGTCGAATTTAACTTAACTTCCTTGTCACCTCTCCCTCTTGGGGTAAGGGACGTGCAAGGGGACTTCAGAAAGTTTGTAGAACAATGGGATTAAAAGATAAAAATATAAAATATAAACTTTATTTCTCAACATAAGCTCCATCAAGTTCAAGACACTTTTGTAAGTGGTGATACCAGCGGTTTAGTCCGTTCCTAAAGGACTGAGGGTCCTGGGAATTTAACCATGTTGATGTTGTCTTTTTTACATTATTAACCAAAGAAAAATGGATGCCTTTTAAAGATTTTTCAAGATTAGGAAAGAAAAAGAAGTCAGAAGGTGCTAAATCAGAACTGTAAGTTGGATGCTGAATGATTTGCCATCAAAACTCTGGCAAAATTGCCCTCTGATGAGCAGAATGAGCAGGAGCATTGTCGTGGTGGAGAAGGGCTCTCTGGTGAAGCTCTCCCGGGCGTTTCTCTGCTAAAACTTTGGCTGACTTTCTCCACACACTCTCCTAATAAGCAGATGTTGTCATCCTTTGGCCCTCCAGAAAGCTGACAAGCAAAGTGCCTTGAGCATCCCAAAACTGTTGCCATGACCTCTGCTCTTGAACAGTCCACTTCTGCTTTGACTGGACCACTGTCACCTCTTGGTAGCCATGGCTTTGACTGTGCTTCTTCTTCAGGATCATATAGGTAAAGCCAGGCTTCAGCTCCTGTTAAAGTTCTTTGAAGAAATGCTTCAGGATCTTGATCCCACTTGTCTAAAATTTCCATTGCCAGCCGCCACAGGAAGGGTCCCGAGCTCCTGAGCCAGGGCAGTGGGGGTGCAAACGGCCTCAGCCACACACCCCAACATCCACATCTAGCCCAGTGATGGCCACCCAACCACTGTAGGAAGCGCCCTGGTCTCCCCTGCCAGAACGAGGGGGGTGCCATGGTCCTTGACCAAGTCCCTGCCTTTCCTGCTCCTCCCACCCTATTTCCTTTCCCCTCCTCCTTTTCCCCTCCCCCTTTCCCCCT